GGACCCCCCTAGAGGAGGTTAGGTCCCCCCTCCCACTTAAATCATGTTCAAATAGATAGGATACTAAATATATTTGCACACATCTTGTGTCCATATCTTTCTGTTTTGGTGGTCATGCCACAACCGTGCAGGGGGGGGGGTCGCCAGCTAAAATCTTGCCTAGGGCAGCAAATTGCAACCAAAGACATTGAATCAAATATGTTATGCTAATCTAATGTGTGTATGGTAACTCTGCAGCTCTACAGAGGTTTTTTTACTCTCTTATACTGTATCTCCTAGTTTAGTTTTTAGCTCATTTACTGTATGGTTTAGGGACTACCGGAGTTGTCAGTGTGTCAGCAGCAACAGGCAGGTGTTTTCATTAAATAAGCTTGAATAAACTCCACTTACATAACCTATTTTATACAGTTAATGTTCACTACCTGTCAGGAACAAAGTTGCAGACGGATAAAGTTATATAGTTAAAGATTAACCAATGAAGAAAATCAAACATTAAGTTACTAACAAGACAAGTTTTCTCAGGAGTTGGTGGAGACCAAAATAGAGCTCAAAAGGGAGTGAATCTTGGTCTTAAAGAGGACATCTTATGTTCATATCAGGCTCATATATTTGGAATTTGTGCTTAGCGTTTCAATGTGTTGGAGCGCCTGCCAGTAGAAGCGTGAATTATATATAGTGATGTCACTATGTTACAGAAGAAAACAAAGGAGTCCAATGAAGGTGTTTCAGGCAGGGGGGGAGTGTGTGGGAGAAAAACTCCATCTGGAGGGCACTTTGGGATTTTAGCCTTTGTAGGCCATTTACATGCACAGAAACCTTTCTAACACACTACAGGAAAGGGAAAACCACAAAAACCATTATAGGCCACCTTTAATGGCTGCCTACCTGAAGAACAATAACCATAAAGATCATTTTAAATACACCGTTTTATACATTGTTCTAAATCATGTGAATAAAGGAGTCAATTTCCCCTCTGTGGGAAGAATAAAGGTATTCTGAGTCCATACTACAACTGTAGTGATAATCGTGAGCGACTATGTTGGAATGTTTTTATGTTGCAAGGTATTGTGGAAGTTCATACCTCTCCTAAACATCACCTTTTAAAATGAGCCAAAAATAAGCTAGAAAGCTTTCTATACATCCACACAAACCATTGCACGGTTTCCTACTCAAAGAAGCTGCCAAGACAAAAAGATTTGCTGTCGAGAAAACGTTAGGATATGAGCCAAAATGGACCATGGAAAGACAATCCAAACCCAAAACCATTTTCTGCTACTTATCCTCAATTTACTTTCCTGTTAAAGACAGAACTTGAGTACTCATTATTAAACGCTGCCTCTGTTTGTGTTCAGCTGTACGGAGGTGATCTGGAGTCAGATTTCAGTCAGTTTCAGGACTGGCTGCAGATCTTCCCGCTGTATAAAGGCAGAGCGAGCATCGAGGGTGACGAGGAGGATGAAGAGGAGAGGCTTATGGGAAAATACAAGGTACTGTGGTTGTATGGCTGTGTTTCTGACTGTCACTTTACAGAGAAGTAGAGCTCAACTGAATGTCATATTTTAACATTCAAAACTTATGTTGAATTTTTTTACAAATGAAGCTTTGAATCTCTGTTGTCATATTCAAACGAAATCCTAATGTCATTCATTCAGATAAAACTGGTTAGCTTTAAATAAACTTTCTTCAGTAACATAACTTGTAACCTATGCATCCCTTTGTGCGGCAAGCAGGAGCGCTAACAGTTTTTGACTGCAGTGAGAATGTTTCTGAAAGGATAAACACTGACAAATATGGAAAGAAACTGAATATTTTCTTTATTGACAGACATGTTGTAAAATGGGGAAATTATTACATCAGTTAATTTTCAATATGTTCGACTCTGACTTCACCATGCTCCGGACTTATTGCAAATGTTTGGAAAAGAAAAGTCATAGGCATCCTGCAAATGCCACAACTTAAATTTAATTATACAAATAGTAAAATATTATTAATATAAGTGTAGCCATCTTAATTTGTAACTCTGCAGAATCAATGTATTCAAAAACAAAAAAGCAAAGCAACGCAGCATTCAGGTGATTTAAGGTTCGATTTCAACATTAGCATTCTTTTTTCCAAATAGCCCTGCAGAGAAGTGTTAATTTCCCTATGCTCTCCATTCTCAGGGCTCCTTCCTGGTTTACCCGATTGATTCTGGAGATGAAGAAGACACAAAATGTCAGATCACTAACGGGATCCCCAAAAACTCTCCAATCAAAGTCCTTGTCCGAGTCTACATCGTCAAGGTAAATGCAGGTCTCTCTGCCCATCCTTATTATGTCTCTGTCTCTAATTCACTTGAAAATCTCCTTTAGACAGACTTTGAGATCAATTCAAGGAGACTTAAGCAATCTCAACTTAATACGGATGCCTCTGTATGAACTACATATAGTTGTTATCATTAATTCATGTCTCTGGGTCAGTATTGAAGACGCTGCATCTACAGTACTGCATACAGAACAGCAAAAGTTAACATTTTCACAGACAAAGTCTCACACTGAATAGTTAGCAAATGACACAGGATAAGGTTTTTTCTTTTAATATCTTTTTTCTCTTTCTCTTTTATTTGTAGACAACATTAAAGTCCCATCTTTTTTTGTCAACAGTATTGCTTGTAAATATAGATAGGAACATCTGAGATGTCATCATCTCGTCCTTGACCAATGTATTATCTGGTAGTTATTGTTAAAAAGGAAAAGTTAGTGTTTTACCGTCTCTGTTCCTTTCCTCCAGGCCACCACTCTGGCTCCCACCGACCCCAACGGTAAGGCCGACCCGTACCTGGTGGTCCGAGCCGGAAAGCAGAGTCTGGACACCGTCGATCGATACATCCCCAAACAGCTGAACCCAACGTTCGGAGAGTCAGTACCTGTCTGTCCACCTGTACCTGTCTGTCCACCTGCACCTGTGCTTTACGTTCTGACTGTCTGTCGTTGTGTTCATTGTGTTATTTAGTCTTAGTCCTCAGCCAAAGTTCTTAGTTTCCTTTTAGTCAAGTCTTAGTGGACTATAAATTGATTGAAAACAATTACGTTTAGTTTCATTCAATGAAAACATTTATTTTTAGGCGTAGTCAACATGGACACTGGCTTTTTGTGTTCACCTTTTTGTGTGTTTTAGGTAACTGAAAATATTGTAATACTCTGGCTAGTGACAGAAAAAAAGGCTGTTTAGGTTTGTAACGTCAAAGTGTGTGGTTAGTTTGAGGTTAAGTAGAGGAGTCCACTTGACTGTGTCGTTGTTCATTTGACCAAAATCTGTCTGAAACTGTCTTTCAGGGTGTTTGAGCTCACAGTTTCTTTTCCACTGGAGACGGAGTTGGTAGTCACGGTGATGGACCACGATCTTATCGGCGCTGATGACATGATTGGTGAGACGCGGGTGGACCTGGAGAACCGGTTCTATAGCCGCCACCGGCCATCCTGCGCCCTCGCCCTTTATTACGACACGTGAGTACCACAACTGCACCACAGTTTTCTCAGAACTGCAACATAAACAATGTTGGTGTAAAAACTGTGAAATGTCAACCAATAGGTACCAATAGTAGGAATATTTATACTAAAAAAACATTGGAGTACAGTACTACCGGTACTACTTTACAATAAGACTACCCTTATAAAGGGTTTACGAATAGTTAGTAATTCATTTATTAATTAGGTTGTGAACACTATATAAAATAATTAATAAGCTTTTATAAGACATGGGATAAACAGGGCAACTGTGACCGGTTGCTTGCCAAATAGTGAGCCCACATTTATCTGTACTGCTAAGCCTTATATTGGCTACTTAGCTTACTTCGTCTTCTTCATCAGCCAGCGTCCTTGGTATCTGTTGTTCACTGAGTTGATTCCCCCCCATCCATCTTGATGTTTCTTGACATCTCTTTAGGACCATTTATTTATAAGTTACTAACATTTATAACCAAAAGGAAGCCTTATTGTAAAGGGTGAAACACATCACCATCTATTGATGAGTCACTAACAGCCAATATAAGGCTTAGTCATCTTGCCAAATAGTGAGCCTGTGTCGATGTATGTTAGAACTGGTTTATAAATGGTTATTAATGATTAATAAAGTGTTTACAACCTAATTAATAACCTAATTATAAACCCTTTATGAATCCTTTATAAGGGTAGTCTTATTGTAAAGTGATACTGTACTACCAATCGGAATAAGAATACTTTATTTCTCTTGGGGGGTGAAATTAGGTATAACCACATTAGTTAAGGGCTGCACATAACAATTTAAAAGTTGATTAACATCAGTATTGTACCTGCTTCTTATGAAAGAAAGGATATACTGTACTTCAGATATCCCCTTGGGAAAGTGTAAATGTCTGCTGTGTGTCCCTCTTCTGGACTGTCTCTCTGCAGTGATGGTTACAATGTGTGGCGCGATGCTAAAAGGCCGTCCGCTGTTTTGGCTGAGCTCTGCAGCAACAACGGCATCCTGTCTCCAGAGTACAGGACCTCAGAGGTCAAAGTCCTCAACAAAATCTTCAAGATCCCATCTGACGCAATACCTGAAGGTAGGACGGACGGACGGACGGACGGACAGACAGACTACTACTACACTGTCCTATACTATTTTGCATTGTTGAGGGGCTTGGGACTTAAGATTGTCATTGCCATAACTACACTGTATAGCTAATGTGCACATGACAATAAAGCCTTTGAATCTTGAATCTTGAATAGTAAAATAAAATAGTAAATTCACCAGGCTGTAAAGTCGTGATGGCGTTTAATGCCCTAGCCTAGACAACATCTGTTGTCTCATTTAGAAAATTGTTAGAAACCACCTTTAAAGGTCATCTATTATGCAAAATGCACTTTTTGATGTCTTTTATTATACATAAATATGTGTCCCCGGTGTGTCAGGGAACTCACAAAGTGTCAGAAAATAAAACCCTCTCTCTTTTCCTCCGTACCGACATCTCATAAAACGGGGGTACAACGGAGCTGATCAAGATTTGCTGCGGTCATGACGTCATACCGGAAATGCATGACGTGTTTTGGAAGTAATATGTGACCAGCTCTATCAAAATCAGTCGGAAGTCGCAACGGCTCATTTGAAATTAAACATGGATTTGCGTAAAAAAATAGTTTTTCGGTGTTCGGGTGTTTTATTTTTATTTTAAATAAACAAAGTATTGGCTTTCAGTAGGGGTGTAACGGTTCACAGAATTCACGGTTCGGTACGTACCTCGGTTTGGGGGTCACAGTTCGGTACGGGTTCGGTACGGGTTATTTATTTTTGAACAGTAGTGCAAGTTTCAGTTTAAAAATAAGGAACTCTAACATTTTGAATAATTAACTGTATTACACAAAACATTTGTTAAAAACAAACCACAAACAGTACCCCACACACTCAGATGCCCAGATGATCTATAATGGCTGATGTCAAACAAAAAGGTTCAATAAGCTGTACAACTAAAAAGAATGTCTTGAAAATATTACATCATAAATAATAAGAAATTGTTTCAAGAGCGCGTAGCCGTTGAAATATATATGCCAATAGCTTCAGGTATTGATTTTGGTCTCACGGCTTTCATGTCTATTGGCTTCTTAAAAACAGCGGGGATAAGCTGTTGAACTGCTGTTGTCTTTTGCCGGGCTCCGTTGATTGGCAAATCTGGGTGATGCCTTCTGATATGATTTAGCATGTGTGGCGTGTGTTACCATTAGCATACCGCACCGCGTCTAACAACGCCAACACACCGTCCACGTCCGATCCACCACTCGCACTCAATCGTTATTGTAGTCCACAGGGAACCAGAAATGTTCCCACATAGCTGATTTAAAAGAAGCAGGTGGGTCTTCTAGCTCCTGTGTGTTATCTGAAATCGCCATACTAACTTTTCTTCTTCTTGTATTTTGTTCGTTTTGTTGTTGTGTTTCTTCTTGTTCTTCATTTGTTGTTTAAGGGCGGCTGTGACTGCATGTGCCGAACGGTGACGTCCGAACCGTGACGGTACGGGACGAATACGGATACCGTTACACCCCTAGCTTTCAGTATATGAAACTTTTACATCCAAAATCACACGATAAATAAATGTTTGAAGCTTGTAAAGGGAAGATGACTGCTCTCCCTCGCTACTCAATTAAACAAAGTCCTGGCTTTCAGAATATTAAACTTGTTTCAGCAAATTCAGATGATAAATACAACTTTGAAGCTTGTAGCGGCATAATTACATGCGGAGAATGGAGTAACTTGACGTCACAGTAGGCATAACAACAGCCGGTGTTTCTCGTGAGTGTTTTCCCCGGGAAACAAACACAATACACACAAACCAAAATGACACAAACACACACACAAACACACACACACGTATACACACACAAACACACACACGTATACACACACACAAACAAACACTCGCAAGCTTCTCCCAGACCAGTAATCCAAACGAAAATATCTTCCCTCCGTAGTATTTAGTTTGCTCCGCTAATAATCAATCAGATCGATGGATTCCAGAGAAGAGGACACTTTGAAGGCCTTTTTCTCAAAATGATGACTCGGTGACAGTCATTATATAATGTGACATATTTTGCTTAATATTTGGAGTACAAAACAATCATGATATCATTAGAAAGCTAGGAATCTCCTCTTTCCAACAGTGTATACAACTCAAAATGTGTCTTCGGGTCAATAGCCGCTTTCACACCAAGTAGCCTACTTTGCCGTACTTAGTTCCCAGCGCTTAGTTCCCAGCACTTAGTACCCCCCATGGAACTAAGTGCTGATCACACCGGAATAAGTTCCCTGGGGGAGGATTAGGCAAATGAAGCCGCTGACATCACTTCTTCTTAATCTGCTTTGGGTTTACTGGCAGGCCGCAAACAATTCATGGCGTATACTGCCACCCGAAGTCCCCGGCCGGAAGTCCCCGGAGTTGGGGACTGGCTTCAGTGGTAGTACTGAAGCCTTCCGAGTAAATCGCCAGAACGCTGACACCTCCTCATCACTCCACCACTCCCATGTTTTTTTTTGTGCTCCCATAAGTTATTCTCTCTGCGTTGGTGCGCGGGGATAATGCTAATAATGCTAATGCCAGCAAATACAATGGCGGCTTAAAAAAACTTTTCAGAGTTTTACGGGGCGTGGTTTGCAATTCGCCCAGCCAATCAGAAATTGGAACTTTTTTCTCCCCAGAAAAGTACCACCTCTCTAGCAGGCACTAAAAAGGGGGTAAAAGTTCTCATGAACTAAGTTCTCTTTTTGGTGTGAACACAAAATCCCAGGAACTATCGGAACTAAACGGGAAAAGTACGGGGAAAAGTAGGCTACTCCGGTGTGAAAGCGCCTAATGCGACTGATTTCGATGGAGCAGGTCACATATGGTCTGTGTTTACATTAGCAAACATCGCTAAAACTCAGAGCAAACGCTGTACTGGAGAGAGTATGTGTAAAGAAGCCGGATGTAAAAGTCACCTTGCGGTAAACCCGCGGGAGAGGAAGCCTTTGAGCTCCATATTGTTTCAGAAATAAACCTTGATGTGGTTTGGAACTTAATATGGCGTTCAATCACGGCAGCATTTAGCTAAGAATCTGTTGAGTTATCAGCCTTCTCGTCACAGAGCTCACTGGTTGCATGTGGACGCTCCAAAGGGGTGTGGCCAGCAGCAGATCCAAAGGGGCGTGGCCAGCAGCAGCTCGGTTACATTCAAAGGGCCAGAACCAGAATCAGCACTTCAGTAACAGGGCTTAAATAGAGGGGCATGAGGCATGCTACAACGGGTGATCTGTTTGGTATTTTTAGCAAAACACTTAATAGGCATGTTTTGTATAGATATGGCCCCATAATATATCTAATATAGTATAATATGGGAACTTTAAGAGGGCCTGTAGAAGTATTATAATTAGCTAGCTAGCTAGCTAGTTAACTTATGCTTTATGTCTTAGAGCAAAACATGAAAATCTTAATCTTGTGTTAACCACAGTCCTTATTTCAGGAACCTAATCAGGCACCCATTAAAAAAAACTGTCTTGCAAAAGCCTATTTCGGATTTATTAGCATTCATTCATGGAGCAGCTCTACTGCTTCCCTCATTCTGCAGCAGCCTCCAGTTACAGTAGAGTCTTACATAGCAGCTGTTGTTGTTGTTGTCAGGTCTGCTGAAGAAGAACCAGCGGTCTCCAGAGGAGGAGGCAGAGATAGAGGAGCACGCGGCCCTGAGCGTGCTGCAGCGCTGGGGGGAGATGAACGAGTTCCTCCCTGGAGCCGTCCCTCTGGTGCCAGAGCACGTGGAGATCAGGTCTCTGCTCAGCCAAGATAAACCTGGACTGCCACAGGTAAACAACCAGAACTACAGTCACAACAAACCCAATTATTAACATGTAGTTCATATATTTAATAGCCAATGTGTGTGTGTGTTGCAGGGTTACCTTCATATGTGGGTGGACATGTTTCCTAATGATGTCCCTGCTCCGCCCCCTGTTGACATCAAACCACGCCTACCTGAACAGTAAGTCAACACAGTAAAGTCAAATAGAGTCTGAATGAGTTGAGAAGGAGATACAGTGTTTAACCTCTCGTCGTTTCCTGGCGACAGGTACGAGCTGCGAGTGATCATATGGAACACCGACGACGTCTTTCTGGACGATGTGAACCCGTTCACCGGCATCCCGTCCTCCGACATCTACGTGAAAGGGTTAGATTCACACACAAGATAATTATGAAGGGTTGTCAAGGATATATTTTTTATGACAGTTCTCAAATGTGCGGCTTTTGCAGCCACTTAACCTGCACAAATACTACAAAAAAGAAAAGTACTTTCGCACTGTGAAGCAATTGCTGTGTTGGTGCTCCTGTTAAGCCCATATTTAAATCAGATATTATTGTTTAAAATTTGCAAACGAGCTTCATAAAAAATGGGCAGTGAGATTATTAGTGACTTCAGAGTGTTGTTGGTAACTAAAGAGCAGTTATAATGGCTCTCATGCCCTGACTTTGAACTGATAATGGTGCAGTGAATTATATATATTTGATGTCCTCCTGCTTTTAAGGGGCCCTATTACTGTATGCTTCCTTGGATTTTCCCATTCCTGTAATGTGTTATATGTTTTTGTGCATGTAAATGGTCTGCAAAGGCTAAAATCCTTAAAATTACCATTGTCCTGCGTACCATGTTCTTTGTACAAAGGAAACATTTATGTTTTGTCACATGGATAATTGCTATCAAGCAAAAGAAAGGGAAAATTGCACTCAGCTAGAAAAATGTATGGTGTGTTTGCGCTGTAATACATCTCACACAATATGCTTTGTGAATCAGACCTTGGGACATTGCGGTACTATCAGCGTTTGCAATCCAGTCTTGGTGAATTCCCCCCTCAGTGCTTTATTCTGATCTGTTCTGTGTGCAGCTGGATAAAAGGACTCGACGGGGAAAAACAGGAGACTGACGTCCACTTTAGCTCTCTGACTGGAGAAGGAAACTTCAACTGGAGATTTGTCTTTCGCTTCGACTACCTTCCTACAGAGGTACAAAATAAATGATATAAGTACATGATGCACCTGGAGACACCTGCTGATGGAGGACTTCTCTTCTGAATCTGATGATTATAGCAACCTGCTCTGGCGTAAATAAATTATCTTAAAGTCAAAGAATTGTGAAATCATCCATAATAATTTCACAGTATCCAAGGGCATGTTTTCGTATGTGCTGTTTTATCTGGACAGTCCACAACCCAACGGCATTAGGTTAACAATGATTAAAAATGAGAAATGCATTAAACAAACAAACCATTAAATAAGCTGAAACAAAAACACTTGTTTCCTCTTTGGTTTGATTATTTAATAATGAATTGACCAGTTTATCCTAGAACTTTAGGGTCACGTTTCCGTCGTCCACGCAAAATATCAATGTTTGTTCAAGATATCCAGTAAATGTTATGATCATATTCCACTCAGTGAAGCGGATGCTTGATACTTTAAAATTTCCAGCAAAACTTAAGACATATTTCCAAAGTGGTCCCTGTAAAAAAAAAAAAAAAATTGATCTGGGTGTTATGATGAGTACATCTCCTCCTCTCACCCGGCAGAAAGAGGTGGTGTTTAAGAAGAAGGAGTCCTTCTTCTCTCTGGAGGCGTCAGAGTTTCGACAGCCGGCCGTTCTGACGCTGCAGGTCTGGGACTACGACCGCATCGCTGCCAATGACTTTCTGGGTGAGAAACCCCAACGGAAAAGACTATAATGTCTAGAATGTTTTCAAATGTACCTTTCCTGAAATAGGCTTACAGTATAATGAAGGACAGATTAAATGAATGTAAACAAAAACTAATACTGTGAGCAACACAAAGATCTCAGTTCAAACAACAATTAGACGTTTTTTTTATTTGTGGTGGACTGACCCTTTAAATTCATTTCAGTGCGTTCTTTACATAGACTGAGTTTTTTCTTCATTTTCAGGGGAAAAGTTGGTTAAAAACATTTTCACCATATCATTACAGAGCTAATTATTTTGATATGACAACCATGTCTTCTGAAAAACTACAACTTATCCTCATCCTCATCATCCTTTCTCCTTCAGGCTCCATAGAGTTGCGTCTGAACGACATGGTGCGGTCGGCAAAGTCCTCCACTAAGTGTACGATCGCGATGGCGAAGGATCGGGCCAGCCCTCGATTCTCCATCTTCCGCGCCAAGAAGATGAAGGGCTGGTGGCCGCTGATCCGCCAGAAGACAGCCGAGGACTTCGAGAGGGAGGAGAAGGAGAAGGAGGAGGCCAAGAAAAAAGGAAAGAAGAAGAAGAAGGACAAAAGGAGTGCCATGAGACAGGAGGACATCCAGTTCACCGACAGCAGCGGCAGCACGTTCCTGCTAATGGTACGAGAAAACAACAATATGCTAATAATGCTAATGCTATTCCACAAAGGCAGGATGCAGTCACTTAAAATTAGCAGTACGGATTTGAATCAGAATTCTTGATTTGATCTGGTTTTCCACTTACATAATCTAATTTATATATTTTTGTTGTGTTATTGAATTTATATATAAAATTGTTTGTGTGTGTTTAGGGGAAGGTGGAGGCAGAGTTGCAGCTGGTAACATTGGAGCAGGCGGAGGCTAACCCTGTGGGACGGGCCCGCAAAGAGCCAGAGCCTCTGGACAAACCAAAGTATGAGATACACACGCATGCACGCGCACACACACACACACACACACACACACACACACACACACACACACACACACACACACACACACACACACACACACACACACACACACACACACACACACACACACACACACATAATAATAAAACTGTTAAACTGTTTCCTGTCCTCTCCTGCAGTCGTCCCTCGATCAGCTTCACCTGGTTCGTCAACCCGATGAAGACCTTTATCTTCCTCATCTGGAAGAAGTTTAAGAAGTTCATCATTGCTCTGGTCATCCTCGCCATCCTCACGCTCTTCCTCGGGCTCATCATCTACACGCTGCCGCAGCAGATCGCCTCCATCATCATCAAAGGATGAAGAAGACTGTCTCAGGTTTCCTGGACTGATCTACATTACTTGTACATCGCATTCACTACTTAGTCTGATCATTTAAACTCATGATTTATTATGTTTACTGTACGCTGACTGCACTACATTACCCAGCATCCTCATTTATATAGACACAAATTACTGCAAATTTTAATACACATATTTATATCATGTAAATTGAAGACAGTGTGCCGCGCCGCACTCAAAAATAAATAAATATAATTATCTTGTATAAAACTCTATTTTTGTTGATTACATTTTATATGTTGAAGGTAAATAAGTTAATAAAAATGAATATTTTCTGTTTAACTTTGCACTGACTCTGACTGAATTTCATATTCTAATCTCTACCAGTTTGTTCAATATGAACGTTAGCTGAATATTATTAGAATTATTAGACAACAGAGAAAAAACACACAAAAAAGAAAGAAAATCAAACTGTGCTCCCTCTTGAGCATGTTGACCAGATACAAATGTAATATTTGCCACATTGAAAGTCTGTATGCCCCTAATTTTCAATGTAAATTGCACCATTTATTTGACTTGTCCACTAGGTCCCTCCACTTCTCTGTAGTGGGACTTCATTTCAAAAGCCTTTTATTCTTTGCTAGGTTCAAGAACAATTCAATTTAAGAGCAGTTCTCTTTAATATTCATATTAGGTACTTACCTCCTGCGTACAACACTTAGTTAAATCACATGTTTAATTGATATCAAGAAATCAAGATATATCATGGAAGCAGAGCCAACAAACTAACTTCTCCTAATAAAATACATTTTGAGAGAAATGGTCTTCAGGCTAATGAACAGGAAGTTAGAAAGGCTTTGTTTATAGAAAAGTGCTCTAAATGTTTCCTCTGATGACAACACTGAAACAAACTCTGGGTCATTGCCTCAGAGACCAGAGGGGAAATAATATCAGACGATTGACCCCCATCCAAACCAAAATGCCTCAACAACTTTTGGATGGATTACGTTATATTTCTGTACAGACATTCATGTTCCCCAGAGGATAAACCCTCTGACCTTTTGTCTAAGGGTGCCATAAGGTTTACATTTGGGGAATTAGATGAAATGTCTCAAAAACGATTAGATGGCTATGGAATTTGTTTCCGACATTCATGTCTCCCTCGGGATGAATGTAGCCTATTAAACAAATGTTGGTAAATAAAACTAAAATGTATTGGGCCAGAGCTCAAGGCAGTAGTTGTCATAAGTGTAACCCCTAGATGTAAAATAAATAGTATAAAATGACAATATAGGATATAAGATGGCATGACATGAATTAAATACATTTATGAAGAAGATGATTGTGTGTATGAAGTGCAAGTAGGTTTATTCATTAGTATTGCACATTTGATGAGAAAAAGGAAACGACTTTATTACACAAAGGATATGTAGTAACTTTTCATATTGTGTCTATACCTTTTATTGACATCCAAAAACCTGCAAAACTAATATCATTCCCATCATCCTCTGCTCTACTTTTGGTTTATTGCCTTATACAAATGTTACATGGTAAAGTTCTAGATTAATGTTTTTTTATTTGCATAATTCCAGGGAAGCAGAATTAAAAAAAAATGATCATTACGTTTAAAAGAATATCACACAAGTAAACAACATAAACATGATATGGTCCATAAGTTCAAAAATAGGAACAATATATTATTTGTTGGAAATATATTTATATATAAAGCAAGAAGGTGGACATAACCTGATTAATATCGGCATAGCATTTAGCTAAAATCTCCGTCCAAGTTCAGCCTCACAAACGCTGCTGTTGTGCAGACTTTTGACTTTTGACTTTTTTTAATATATAAAATTAATATTAAATGGTTTTTTTCAAAGCAAAAAACTAAATAATTATTCAAAAATAAAATTTAAAATATTATCAAATGAATCCTTTTTTTATTTATTTGTTTGTTATTTTCCTTTTTTGGTTAAATATATATATATATATATATATATATATATATTTTTTATAAATAGACAGATTTCAATAACAGCCTCGATTTTCCTATTATAGTAGAAATGTGTTTTTCAGCAGGTTTACATGAATAATGAATGAGTTGACAACACACTGATGTAATGGGGTTTACCTCTGTGCTCGGTCAGCACTGCGCGCTCCCGCGGCAAAGAGCCCCGCCACCGTTGCTAAACGTGAACGCGCCTCTCTCCATGCGGTTTGAATAAAGAGGAAAAAAAGCAGGAAAATAAATCAGCTGATGATGAAAAGACATAAAGCTGTTACAGGAGCGGAGAAAAGACATCGGTTTGATTCCCTCCTGTGAACCCGCTCCCGGTGCACAGGGTTCCGCTTCTCCTCTCAGCTGCTCCGCTCTTTGTCAGCTGGTTCACACACTGAGAGACCCGGGCGGGTTTCATGGGTTCATCCCTGGATAAAGCGGCTCTACAGGGGAAACATCGTTGGGTTTAACACTCTTATGACCCGGGACTGTTTTTAATGTCATCGCTTTTCTGCGGAATCTGCTGTTAATGTTTATGTGCTGCTGGATCTGATCTCCTTTTGTCTGGAGGAAGAGGAGGCTGATGCTGCGGTGAAGTCACACTGAGGAAGGAAGCACCGGATCAGGTCTTTAATTACCGATTTTACATCAGCTTCTTAATGCTAATCGTTCTTTACGGGACTGTGGGATCATCACTAATGGGATTATTTCGCCTTTGCACAGTGGGTTTTTTAATTCACATTATTTGATTATTTATAATAACAGGTTTTCTCCTGGTTCCACGGGTCTTTTGTGTGGAATTGATCCGCCAGTCCCGGACTTGAGAGGCCCGGGTGTTCCCGGTGTGTCCCGGGCTCAGCAGCACCATGCCGGAGTGCGTGTCGGTTTCAGACTTCGTGCAGGAGGTCCAGGAGGACTGGAGCTCCCCCACCACCTCCTCCTTCACCTCCAAGATGATCAGCTGCAGGAACACCGTCTACCTGCTGGAGGAGGTCAGTACATTTTTGTGCAAAATGTGCACACATTTATAGATTGAAATCAACACTGTTGCATTTTCAAGTCTCTTAAAATGTAGTTAATATTCTGCTGATTTGTTATCATCAATTACATTTCTGTTTATGTACAGTTTGCATACTCACAAAACTAAACATTTGAATTAATTCATATTTTTAATTCAATTTCAAAACGTCACGTTTTTGTCACTGCCGGTCAATTTGTAGCGTCATGAGTAGGCTAGTACACACAATTATTAAACGCAATATAGGAAACATTAAAAAAATATATGTTTTACAAAAAGAAGATGTGCTAACTGTACACAGTTTCTGCAAAGGAGAACTCGTACGTATATGTTTTATATGTAATATTTGGATTTTTAGTAACATTTGAGATTTATCTTATTTGAATTTTTTTATCAAAAAATATTTAGTTCCTCTAAATAATTTCATCTTCTTTTGAATATAAAACAAAAATATAACAGCTCCCAAAAAAACAACAACCAACATGTTTAAAGATAACCTAAAACTCTGAAATAAACAGTTGCATAATTAAAGGAAATCCCCAAACTGCAATGACCAAAACAAACGTTAATACTTTTAACTGTATTTTAATTGATTTCCTACAATATCTGATCCAGAAAACAAAAGCATGATAGAAGAAAGTTAATGAATATCCTCACAGGCCTAGAAGTTAGTTTGACCAGGTTTGTGTCGCTGTGTGAATGTTTGGCCAGTATACTAGAACTGTTTCATGGTTGACATGTTCATGGCTAATGTTTTGCCTCAGGGGGGCTCCTCTCACTTTAATCCGGCCTTGCGGACTCCAAGCTCACTTCCTCAGATTTCTTGTTTTTCTGAATAGTTCAACAATGAATCCATCATTTAAATAGTTGCACACACACACAATCACGCACTTACACACACACACACACACACACACACACACACACACACACACACACACACACACACACACACACACACACACACACACACCTGTTACCTCCTGCACTAACACCCTCTCTCTGCAGACCATGTCTCTCACCTGGAGCAGTACATTAACTCGATGGAGAAGCTGTCGGTGAACTGTCACTCAAACGGAGAGACGGAGGTCGGATCAGCTTTCTGCCGTCTGGCCGACTTCTCTAAAGACCTCCTCTCTCCCATGAAGAACCTGGTAAGATATAAAACGTTATACACTAAGAATAAACTAAGAAGCAAGTGTAGTCCTGGAGCTTCTGTGGTACGCTTGGTTGGCTAAAAGAGGATAGTCTCACAATTTGGCTTGTAATTAAACCCCCACAACAAAGGATTACACTTACTGGCATTTCAATGTATGCCCAAACACAATTTACTTAGAAAACAACATACCTGTTGCATTATCCAACAAGAGAAGAAGGAATCCAATTTACCAGACAGTATCTAAAGCTAAAAAACCCAGGCTTGGCTTGCTCGATTATTATGATCGTCAGAACACAATGTTTTCCATTTAGATAAAGGAGGTATTACCAAAAAAGCAGGTAATGGGTTTTTTCCCCCAAAGGTAGACTCACAAACAAAGATTCCCTCCCTAAACAATTCTTAAGAGCTTAAGAGCTCCTAATTTAAGATCCTATCAGAAGGTTTTAGTTGGATGTTTTCTCAAAGGAGTCTGGCATAGATCAGCCCTTTTTAACTAAAAAACTCTTAATTGCTCATTTCCATCCTATATTGGGTATACCTATTGTTAAAAATAGTTGGATTCAAACATTTGATTTGGACATTTTTATCAATGATCAGTGGTCTTTTAGCTAGTCTATTCCTTGTTTAAAAAACCTTTGATTAACCCTTCATTGTCTATTCAATACTACATTAAAGCCCACTATTAAAGCCAATGGGCTCTTAATGGCTACATTCCAATTTCTATTGGAATAACCTCTGATTACACATAAACACCAGCTGTTTCCTTCCAGTCCCATGGAGACTTCCCTGGAAAATCCACCAATTCAAACACCTACAGTAATTACTTAACTTTGGAAAGTCATTCAAAATCAAAGTGGAAACCTTGACCCTCTTCAAAGGTATTTGGCTCTGGTCCTTCCCGAACGTCAATTGGAAAAATATCTGATTCAAAACAATTTTGATCCCAATTTGTCAATGAGTTTTTACCTGGTCCATTCAACACTCCATTGAGAAACATCTGTTTAAAATCTAACTGGTTGTTTGTCTCCTAACCACTCTATATTACCTTTCAATTAACAACATGCCGGGAGTTATCTTTTATTACCAAGGTCTGTCTAGCATGTTTTTATTTTTGTTGACAGGGGAAGTTACTTTAAACGTAATTTTGTTTTTTTGGTGTGCAGTTAAAGAGCATGCTCCACAACATCAACTTCTTCCTGGACTCTCTGGTTAAAGGAGACCTGAGGGAGGTGAAGGGGGTGAGAACTTTTTAATGTACATATCACTTGACTGAAAAAACCTTTCAACAGTTTCGTGTTGACTTCTTCACCTCAGGACGATGCTTCCTAACTGAAATGTTTAAAGCCTCCTCTCAAACATCCTGTCTCCTCTTCTGTCTCTTTGTAGGATCTGAAGAAACCTTTTGACAAAGCGTGGAGGGACTATGAGAGCAGATTGTGAGTGATGAGAAAACAAAATGAAGAACACCAAAAGGGTTTAAATGCTTAGTCTGTTTTCTTAGTTTTGAGACAGTTAACATCACTGCTACGGTTTCAGAAACCTTGTTAAGCTTGTTACGAGGTTTAGAGAAACCTGATCAAGCATCTTGATGTGGATAGTCCTGTGTTAAGGATCCTAATTCTGGGGTCAGGATCTATTTCTATTACAAAAATGACCTATTTAAAAACAGACAGACGTAAATAGTGGATGAATAAAGCATTAAAGACAGGCCTCACGTTCCACTCGTTCTACGTGAGCAAAGAGGCAAATATTTTGGAGTGGACAAGAGTTCATTTCTGTTGAACTTTCTTAAGAATAGTAATGGTATCTTACCTGCAGTCGCACATTTGGGATCTGGCAACTGTGTGTGTGTGTGTGTGTGTGTGTGTGTGTGTGTGTGTGTGTGTGTGTGTGTGTGTGTGTGTGTGTGTGTGTGTGTGTGTGTGTGTGTGTGTGTGTGTGCAGTAAGCAGGTGGAGAAGGAGAAGAGGGAGCTGGCTCGTCAGTATGGGATGGTGAGGAACGAGGTCAGCGGAGGAGAGATCGCAGAGGAGCTCGAGAAGGAGAGACGCTCCTTCCAACTGAGCATGTGTGAGGTCAGTGACTCCGCCTCCATCTTTGACCCCGCCTCCTCCTTCACCTCCTTGTGCTTTGTTGTTGTTGTTTCTTCTTCTTCTTCCTCTTCCTACTTCTCATCTACCCAACCCTTTTGTCTTTCTACTATAATCTCTGCTCCCTTTTCTCTTCTTCTTCTACTCCTTCTCATCCTTGCCTTCTTCCTCCTTCTCCTTTCATCCTTTTTACTTTTCTACTCTAAAGATGGTCAGCCATCTCTCTGCCAAATAAAAACACTCCTCTTTCTCTCTCTCTCTGTTAGTATCTGATTAAGGTCAACGAGATAAAGACGAAGAGGGGCGTCGACCTTCTGCAGAACCTTATCAAACACTACCACAGCCACAATAAGTAAGAACACACACGCGCGCGCACACACACACATGCGCGCACACCCACGTACGTGTTCTAAACCTGTCCGTTTGTTCTGTATCTGTGTGTGTAGCTTCCTGCAGGAGTGTGTTTCCACCACTCAGAAGTTGAAGCAGTACATGGAGGAGTTGAATGGAGTCCTTATCACGGTATACACGTATATTGAGTTTATCATTTGGAGTCAAAGTATGCAAATAACATGTCTGCTTGATTTGATTATTTCTGTACATAAATCAAGGTTTTTAGGGTAAACTAAGATGAATTTGGCTCAGGTGATCTGTTGTGTGTGTGCAGGTGAAGCAGCGTCAGGAGGAGGAGAAGAAACAGCTGGTGACCCTCAGAGATCAGCTGAGGCCGGCCGTCAACTTAGAGCAGGTCTGAGACACAAACACTGATGTGGTAACACTATAATAATGTTCAACAGGTGGTTAATATGTGTGTGTGTGTGTGTGTGTGTGTGTGTGTGTGTGTGTGTGTGTGTGTGTGTGTGTGTGTGTGTGTGTGTGTGTGTGTGTGTGTGTGTGTGTGTGTGTGTGTGTGTGTGTGTGTGTGTGTGTGTGTGTGTGTGTGTGTTTGTAGGACTCTTTACCTAAGCAGGTGTACAGCATGCATCAGCTGCTCGGAGACAAACAGTACGGAACAGAGAGGGCAGGATTCCTCTACAAGAAGAGTGACGGGTAAACATTTGTAATTCAAACACACCCTTCATACAAACACACATCCAGCTATGCTATACATATGAAATGAAAATGAAAACCACAATAAATACACTTCTGTACTTGGAACAATAAAATAATACAATGTAAATAAGTTTATTAATAAATCCATAAAATAAAATAAAGATCAGGGATAAAATGTTAAAATGATTCAAGCTTCAAACTATTGGAAGTCATAGCTCGTTTTGCTCATTTATTTATTACAGGAAAATGCACATGTATACATATTTATAAATACATTAATTTTAATAAAATCATTAAAAACAGGCGCAATACACGGACCATCAGTATACTGTACGTACTAATAATGGTCGGACCAATCCTGTGTGTCTTTGTGTTTCAGCTTGAGAAAAATGTGGCAGAAGAGGAAATGTTCAGTTCACAACTGTTACCTGACCATCGCACACGCCACTGTGAGTTTGTCTGTGTGTAAGTGTGTGTGTAAGTGTGTGTGTAAGTGTGTTTGTGTGATTATACATTTGAACTCTTGAGCTTGGTTATCAAAGTGATCACATCCTCTTTCTCTCTCTCAGCCCAATAAATCTCCTACCAGACTAAACCTGCTCACCTGTCAGGTCAAACCTAGTGTGGAGGACAAGAAATGCTTTGACCTCATCTCCCGTAAGACACATGCAATCACACACTCACACACACCCGCACGCACGCACGCACGCACGCACGCACGCACGCACGCACGCACGCACGCACACACACACACACACACACACACACCCCAGAACTATCATAAAACAGAATTGTTGTTGGCTGTGGTGTACATGCACATAACACAATTATGTGTTTGATTTCATAATATATAACCTTTTTCTTCCAGATAATCGGACCTACCATTTCATGGCAGAGGAGGACGCTGAGTGTGTGGCGTGAGTCAAAAATAAAGTTTGACACATGGCTTCATCCGGTATGTATGATAAATATCGTTAACAAGTTTTAAATGTTGTGTGTTGTGTGTGCAGCTGGATCTCGGTGCTCAGTAACAGTAAGCAGGATGCTCTGAGTGCGGCCCTGGACGGGGGCTTTAAAGGGGGGGGAGGGGGGGAGAGCAGCGTAGAGGATCTGACCCGAGCCATAACTGAAGACATCCGGCGGATGCCCGGAAACAACAACTGCTGTGACTGCGGAGCTCCAGGTTATCTATCTATCAATGTATCAGTACAATACCATTTCTAAAGTGAAACATGCCCTGTCAATTGAGTAAAGCATAAGCCCTTTGTTTAATTACCATTACAAAACAAGTTTGTGTTTTTGTTTCCTGTTTGTAAGCTGTTTAAAGAAAACCCAAAATAATCCATAATAGTAAAACCGTATTTGTATGACACCTTTCATTCAAGAATAGCAGCACAAAATGCTTTGCAAAAAGGATTAAAATACATATACTGAGCATGAAAACAGGGTTGGAATGCTTTCACTTTTGGAAAATAATGTAGAAACACACATGATAAACATACAATAAATGGAATACATGGAGACTAGACATAATAATGAATCAGTAAAAGCTACTGAAAAAGATAAATTCCCATATTTTAAGCATGCATAACATAAACACTGTACTGTAGCACTATTTAAAGGGTCTCCACTTTGTTGTGCTCTGTTATTGTTTCCTTTCTTTTCCTAATTGCATTTTTCACTTCAATTAATCAAATAAATAAATGGTAGATTCTACCATGTTGAAAATAATTGTTAGATGCAGCGCTAATTAGATTTCAGAAAAAACGTATATGATATATTTAACAATGGCGACAACATCTAATCTCCTGTCTCTTTAGATCCTGGATGGCTCTCCACCAACCTGGGCATCCTGACCTGCATCGAGTGTTCGGGGATCCACAGGGAGATGGGGGTCCACGTCTCCAGGATCCAGTCTCTGAGTCTGGACAGTCTGGGGACCTCAGACCTTCTGGTACGTCCAAACTGTTAGCTAACAAGCTAATCCAACAATAATCCATCCTGAAGTTAGGTGTTGAGTTAGACATACAGTACATCAAACCTCATTCTTCTGTAAATCCATCATCTTTAGCTGTTACAACACACACAACATGATTTAAACCTGTATGATTGTATATTTCTTCATTAAATGCCATGGAAGTTGTACGGAGCCCCTAAAGGGACATGGAAGAAAAAAAGAAAAAAACAGAGAGAGAAAAAAAAAGTCAGGATAACAGGTTTGTATCTCGTGCGCACCAGATACTAACTCGTGCGCACGAGAAACAAACCCGTTATCTTAACCCGTTAACTTTATTTTTTTTTGTTGAGAAAGTTACCAATGCACCAGGAGGAAGTGGAACACACAGGAGACAACCATTTCACTGCAGACTGTTAGCCTATGTTTACATGGGGAAATGACAGTGCATACATTATTTGAGATATATTTCGAACTCAGACTTCATTGTATGGACATTTCGGCCAGGGGTGTAGAGCTATTTATTTAAGCACCGGATTGGCAAAACAGGAGAGTGTGTACACCAGTCTGCTTTGATCTACGAATTAATGTCCGTGACTCTCAGAGAACCTGCTGCCCGCAGCTGTTTTAAAGGGAAAAAAACACTCAGAACACACACACACACACAGAGCCAGTGGCGGACTTTTCCCCGCAGCGAGGCTCCCCCCGTTGACAGTTCACTAGCGCTGCTGCTGCTCTTCTCTGAGTTACACGTCCCGCTGCCTCCTGGAGTGACCACACACCCCTGGCCGAAATGTCCTTAAAGTGAAGTCTGAGAGTTTGAACTATATCTCAAATAATGTATACACTGTCATTTCCCCACGTAAACATAACAGTCTGCAATGAAATGGTTGTCTCCTGTGCTCACAAGAAAGTATCTTGTGCGCACGCAAAACTTTCTCGTGCGCACAAGATACAAACCCGTTATCCTAACTTTTTTTTCTCTCTCTGTTTTTTTATTTTTATTTTCCATATCCCTTTAGGGGTTCCGTATAGTTGACATCTCACCGTTGTTTTTTTTCCTCTTAAATGTCTTATATTGTTGACAATATAAAATTCAACTAAAATTATATAAACTTCCAAAAAGGGAAGACAAACAAAAAAGCAAACCAGAAAAAACAATTGCATCCCCTGAACATTTACAAACTCAAAACATTGTTTTCTCAGAACCAAGGCTTTAATGTTATTAAATGTATTCTGTTGGTGATGCAATTATATATTTCCACTTTCTTTCAGTTGGCCAGGAATGTTGGTAACTCTGGTTTTAATGAAATACTGGAGGCAAACCTGCTGAGTCCATCAATGAAGCCGTCCCAGGAGAGCCACATGTAAGACACACATCACACACACACTGAGAATCAGTGGGAATGAATTAAAATAATAGTCACAGTTTTAATAAGGTGTAGCAACTAACATTAAACAATTTTCTTTTTGCTTTAATTTTGATAAAGGCATGTCTTATGTTGAAATGATAATTGCTTCACCTCATGAAAAACACAAACCCATGTACATCATTTTGATAAAGTTGACCTGTATATTCATGTTGTGTGTGTGCAGGGGAGAGCGTAAAGACTTCATCCTGTCAAAGTATCAGGACGGTTATTTTGTGAGGCGGAACCACTGCTCGAATGCAGCGCAGCGGTTTGGCCTGCAGGAGGCGACCAAGAGCTGCGACATCTACAGTCTGATCCAGCTGCACGCCCAGAGGACCGAGCTGAGCCAGCCGCTGCACGCACACATACAGGTACACACACAACAATAAACACACAGGTAAACTCAACTAACCAACACACAACACTCACATAAACTCAGCATTGGTTTCCATGCCAACAGGAGAGAGGGGAGACAGCGCTCCATCTCGCCGTCCTATTGGCTGACAGGACGTCCCTGCACATCCTGGACTTCTTAGCTCAGAACTGGTCAGTGATTTCTGCTGACAATTTCGAGTAGTGTCCTCTCAGTGTGTGTTCATATGTTTACATGTGTCCACCTGTGTGTGTGTGTGTGTGTGTGTGTGTGTGTGTGTGTTTTTTTTTTGTCTTCAGCTCAAATGTGGACGCACAGACATCCGCAGGAAACACAGCGCTGCACTACAGCTGCCTGCACAACAAGAGCGACTGTGTGAGGCTGCTGCTGAGAGCCAGGGCCAACACACACACCAGTAAGGAAAACAAACACACACACATATATATTTGTACACAGTACATGTGAGGACCAACAGAAAACAAATTGAAAAGTGAGGACAAGTTTTCAAAGTGAGAACTGATACAGAAAGTGATGATATATTAAGAAAACATGGACATTTAAAAAATGTTTTGAGACATTCAATATTTTTTTAAAGTGAGGATCATTTTGTTAATTGGGGAATTGATTTAATGTAAGTCTAAGTTTCTTAAAAAAATATCTCTACTATCAACTGGTCCTCACAAATGTAGAAGCACACACACACATTTTCCTGTTGATAGTCATGACAGAGAACTTCTCAGTAACATTTTATTTGTTTGTGTGTGTACAGAAAACGAGTTAGGGGAGACCGCTCTGGACGTGAGCCGCAGGTTGAAGCACGGCCACTGTGAGGCGCTGGTGAGGCGTCGCTCCTCTGCATGTCTCTACTTGTGGCTGTTGAGCGTTACTCTTTATATTATAAATCTGAACTGCGTTGTGTCCTTGCAGCTGCAGCAGGCCCAGTCCAACCAATTCGACCATCATGTGAACGTGGAGTACGAGTGGAGGCTTCGTCATGACGACCTCTACGACAGTGACGACGACTTTGAAGAGAGGGTAACTATGGCAACAAGCACATTGTACTGCTTCTTTCTTTCTTTCTTTTTGTATAATTATAGTCTATTGCTAGAGCTCACCCTGCATTTTCTTGAGAGTAGATTGGTTAATCATTCTTAAAATTATATTATTTTTTATTATTTATACTATTATTTGCCATTTCTTGATGCATTATGGTTTTAAGATTTAGTGTCTGAAAGCTCCAAGCTTGTTATTTTAATGAAAAGTCTGAGATCTTACAATTAAAGCAAAACAGAAAATACTGTTATGAATGTCACAAGGCTCAGGAGGACCCAAACGCACGACACCAGAAACAGGTCAGGATTAACAAAGTATTTAATAAAAAGGCAAAATCACAGAAACTATAAGATCAAAAACGCTAAACAAAACATCTACTTGGATTATCAAAAACGTAACACAAAGAGTCTATCAAAAATATACTTAACAAGGTCAAGGAATGACTGGCAGACTTGGTGAGACAAGACGAACTGGCACAGGACAAGGGGAGGCGCAGACTATATATACACACAAGGTAAGGGGACACAGGTGGCAACAATCAAGGGAGGAGCTGACAATCACACTGGAGGGAAATCAACATCTTGCAAGAAACAGCGTCTGAGGGCTTCTTAACATTTACTATGAATGTGTCATAGCGACTTAACGAGAAGAAACTCAGCTACCTGACGATATGAACCGAAACATAACAAAAGTCTAACGCCGAGCCTCTGAATTAGCACTGAGCGAAAGAGTGCTAATGTACTTAGCACATAACTCACGGTAGAAATATGTTATTCTTCATCGGATCTGGACAAACTGATAGCATGTGAAAGCTGAGATTTCACAGATTATAATGGTATAAGTATCATCACTGTGCGACCAAAACTCGCGGCAGCGAAAGCAAGCAAAGACAACACACAACTTCACTTTACGGGGCCAAAACGGCAAATACGTCTTACCTTTGCTGTTTTCTGATCAAAAGTTGTGTTCAAGGGCGTTAAAACGGTGGATCTCATATAAACGCTGCTGAAGTTTAATCCAATGTCTCTGTGTCCCTTTGAAATGATTTACTGATAATCCGATCATAACACTTATGGCACTAAGCCTAGTTTTCAGTTTTCAGTTTTCAGTTTTCAGAGCGTAACATAGCTTTCGGTTTGGGCAAACTGCATCAATCTCACTCCTCAATGGTAACGTGTAGGTGGATTTAGGAACTCCCCCTCGATTCTATTGGCTCTAACAGTTCAAAATTGGTGTCAATCACCAACATCGACCAATGGGTGTCGTAGAGTTTGGATTCCTAAAGCTTTTAGTCTACTAACCCATCATCCAAGGGTGGTTTTTATTATAAGTAATAGGTTTTTTTTTTTAACTTTAAAATAAAAACATCTATATTGATTCTGACTCTTCTACATCCAACTCACAGGTTTATCCTTGCTCTGAGAAAAAAGATTATTAATTTAACCCTTTTAGAAGTTATAGTCATTGGTTCTGGGAATGTCATTTTCGAGCCTGAAACCTGAAAAACAGGCTCAGGGGTTAACAGGTTAAGGCTGACAATCATACTGGAGGGAAAACACACAAGACCAGGAAGGGCTCTGAAACGAGAGGGAAAGGTTACTACAAAATAAAACAGGAAGTCACAAGACAAGGCAAAACACAAAGGATTGAACTAAATGAATTAACTTAACATAAATGTGTAGACACCACAAACTGGATCAATCATCTTCATCATGACAGAGGAGAGTTTTTGTATTTTTATATTTATGTATTCTATATGTCTTTAATGTTTAGCATATTTGCCAAACTATGTACGGACTTGACATTGAGGTTAATCAATTTGTTGCTCTTTTAGCGATGTGACCTTTTTTCGCTCCTCCTCTTCTGTTTCAGAACGGTCCTGTGAAGAAGGAGCGCTCCTTCTCATCCTCCTCCTTCTCCTCCTCCTTCTCCTTCACCTCCCGGGCTTTCAGCTTCAATCAGCCCGCCTCCTCCTCCATCCCCCCGCCTTCCTCTGGAGAAGCGGGGGGATCAGGAGGAGGGGGAGGAGCGGGAGGGTCCGGAGGGTCTGGGGGGTCTGGAGGGTCCGGAGGAGGTCTGCTGAGCGTAGGGAGGAGGCTCGCCATGGCGATGGAGCTCCACAGCCGGCCCTCTGGCTGTGCCTCCAGCCCCCCTCCGCCTCCTCCGTCCTCCCCTGCACCTCCACTGCCCCCCCGGGTCAAAGGTGAGCTCAGACTCTGAATGTTTTGAGTTTTATTAATATGTTGTTATCTTTCCAGGAGCTTATCTTCCTTCATCTGCAACTTGAATGGAAAAACAATGCACATTTTATTGTTTGTGACTAGTGGCAAAACCAAATTGTACAAATACTCTGGTACTAGTTAAAGTCCTACATTTATATATCGTATTAGAACAACATTTATGGATTCAAAATATACTTAATAACCAAAGTGAACGAACATTTTAAGTGTAACTACCCATTTCAGAATTATATATATAAAATTACCGAATTATGATTATTGATACATTATTGTGTCCCAGCTAATAAAAGTGGAGCTAATTTTAATAACGCTGTATACACTTGCCAAATATCGTAACCTGTAAATATATGTTGGTGTTTATTTAATGATATATTATTTTGTAGTATTCTCTTATAATTGTAAAATGTAAGTAGCTAAAGCTGACTATTGACAATAAGATTTCTTCGCAAATAAAGGCCTGATTTAAAACTATTTGAGGAGGTTGGATTTACTTGTATGGTCAATTCAGTATAATAATATACAAACAATATACAAAAATAGGTAAACATGAACAACGTATTAAATGTGTATCAACACAAATTAAAACATCAGATCAGAAAATGGGAAGGATTCGTACTAAAACCTAATCAAATGTGTTGTGCCGTCCTCTAGCCCCCAATGTTCCTCCCCCTCCCCCTCCCGCTGGGGGAGAAGGAGCTGGGGATGAAGAGGAGGAAGAGGGGGAGGTCTTCTTCTCGCTGACAGGAAATAGAAAGTCAACGCCCCCCCCTCCCATCGCCGTCCGACACAAGAGGAGCTGCTCCGAGTCCAGCAAGCACGGTATCATCCGAGAGTAAGGCTGCAATTAGTCTGCCAATTACTGTAATACTGTGTAATTAACTGTGTGTGTGTGTGTGTGTGTTTCTGTGTGTGTGTGTGTGTGCTTGTGTGTGTGTGTGTGTGTGTGTGTGTGTGTGTGTGTGTGTGTGTGTGTGTGTGTGTGTTTGTGTAGATTACGGGTTGCCAACCAGCCCGAGGATCTACAGCGGTCCAGACTCCTCCTTTAAGAAGTGTGTGTGAGTATCTGAGGCATAATGACACTGTATTTAAACTTAAATGTACATTTCATTGCAACAAACACAGAAGGGGGAGTGAGGCATCTGATTGAATATTTAAAATAAATGATGTCCTGTTGGAACAGGAGCTAAACTGTCTAAGTTTGTTTTATTCTAAAAGAGTAGTGTTAAATAAGATCCAGTTTTAATCCAACTGAAATGAAAACATTAGAACTTGACATGCCGATGAGAGGAATGTAACACCATGAGTTTTCACATTACCATCAAAATCTCAAATATCATGGTTACATGTACAATTATTTTTATTATTACTATTTTTACTATTATGTGTTAAAATCCAGGCATATCATAGATTAAACAATTATTCAAAAATGTTGTTTCTTGCAGATTTATATTGAAAATGATTACTTTAATTCAAATGTTCAAGTTTTTAATTGTTCACTCTTCATCTATTTATTTTGCATTACAGCAACATTTTTCTCATTCTTCTTTCCTTTGTCCCCCTTCAATTTAATGCTTTGTATACATTGCTTCATACATCTTGTAAAAAAGTCTGTATAAAAGCATGCTTTTTTTTACTATCAGATTTCAAATATAATTTTGATGATTAAAATATTAAACAAATAGTGAGAGGTTTTTCCCTCATCAGGGGTTTTTGAACTGAGACTGTGCCGCCCCCTGCTGGACTGAAGGAGATTTACAGTTGTTGTTGACGTGTTCAGATTGAAATAATCTCTCTCTCTCTCTCTCTCTCTCTCTCTCTCTCTCTCTCTCTCTCCA